TAAATTAAGACATATTTGGAATTCATTGTTCTTATAAAATTTATTTAGATTTTTTACTTTTGTGTGTGCAATCTTTGTTCTTGAGATATTTTAGCATCATTTAAAAACTTATCTAACTTAAGTTATTTATATTTTTAAAAAAAATTAAGTTCAAATTATTTTTTTTAAAGATTTTTAATTTAAAGTATTAGAAATATATAATTTAATTCTTAAATAAAATTTGATAACCATATGATCTCTAATATTAACTTGAAATATCAAAATTTTATAATTCTAATTTAATTCCACAAATATTTGTTGCAGTTTTATCAACAAACTATAAATACAATCCAAATATTCATGAGTTAAAAGATATATCTAAAACTGAATGGAACTGATTTAATTATGTACATAAGGTTGTGACTTACAACTAAATTCTAAATATTAAATATTTAAAAAATTAAAATTAAAATTAAAATATAATACATTTTAGACCAAGTAAACGATGATGGAAAAACTTTAGCATAAATATATTGGAATATGTGAGGGGAGAATAAGACCCTCACGTGTAAAATAGCCATAATGGGAAGTAATTCTGAGGCAACTTCAACGGGTATTTCCACTACAATTTCAAGTCAAAAAAGATTTGTATTGATCTATACGGTTGGGCTGTAACTAAATCACTTTGACTTGTTCGTTAAGTTATCTTCTGTTTTTTTTTTTTTTTTTTTTCTCATGTAAAAAGGTCCTGATTTTTTAGTCTATGCTATTAAAATAAATTTGTATATAAATATGCCCATCTGTTAAGCTAATAAACATAATATATTATACTTAAACATACAAAAGAAAAATATAAATTTAAAAATTAATTTTGAGAACACAACTTAGTTATTGTACATGAAAAAAATATATATAGTACATTACATCAAAGAATAATTACACAATTGACTTTAATATACCGGTAAATAAATCAAAAACAAAATCTATTATCCTGTAAAATTCTGAGAATTTGTTCACGCCATTGATAGATAAAAAAAAAGGAATGTCCATTTGGAGGCGACTGCCTTTATCAAGTATATAAGGTCCTCCGTTTTGTGGTTTCTTTACCACTTCTACCATGATCCTTCTAAAATATTACATACTACCCAAAAAATACAAACAACTAATCGCTTTACTGCAGAAAAGTAGAACCAAGCCGAATATCTTTTTGTTTCTTGATACGTGTATATATGCACCAGGGTTTGATATATGATCTTCGCGAAATGATGTTTCGGCTTTTCACTTATCTAAATTTCTGATAAACAATCTCCGAGCTGTAGAGAAGCATAGTTTTGAACCTTATACAATGTATAGCTTTTGAGTTAATTTTCAAAAAATCTTTTGGGCAGTTTTGTACAAAACCAAGTGGGACGAAGATCACGGATTCATGAAACAAGATAAATTATACAGAAAAAAAAAAAAAAAACCATTATTAAATCAAACCAAAATCTAAACATTTATTTTAGTAGACAACTCTATAAAAAAAATATATATAAAAAATTGAAAAGAACCAAATGGTACCAGTATGAATCGAGACAGATACTGACGAGTTGAAAATCATTCATGGTTACCATTAGTAAAATCTGATTTCTCTGTTCATCACTGCCTTTCTCCACTAGTTTTTGGACAAACATAATTCCCTGATGGGTCTACCATCAAATCACCAATATGATTAATCACTTCTTTGAAGATCATGTCAATTCCTCATGTGAATTGTCATTGATGCTGCTATGAAAAAAACGGAACCCACATTGATCTTTAGCCAAGCTCACGATCGAACCTTTCAACTCCCTCAAAGTCATAGAATTCAAAGCGTCCTGCAACCTGTGAGACCTCCTGTTATTCATTCTTGTCCTGGAGGAATTGTGGTTTCTTGGCACGAAACTGCCAGGGAGTTATGTTGTTCAGAAACTAGTGGAGAAAGGCACCCCCAAAGAACCCATTCAGATTCGAAGAGCAAACTCTTGACATATCATCTTCTCTTTGTAAATCACCAAGAATTACTTACCGTATTTTAGCATTATTGTGTGAATAAATCGTGTTCAAAATAGAGTTTTTGAATAGCAATTGTTTTACGAGCGTGAGAGTATTTAAATATTTTATTTTAAATTACAATTTGTAATAATTAATATTGAAATAAACATATTATCAATGTCATGTACATAATCCTCTCTGTCCACTTTAAATTAAAACATATTATAAATTTATTGCTCTTATAAACTTTAATTATATTTTTTTACTTTTATGTCTGCAATCTTCAGAGTTTATCACATAATTTGGTGTATCATAAAGATACTGGAATATGTGATGGGTGAATGAGACCTTCATGTGTACAATAGCTCTTAATGAAATAATTTTGAGGCAACTCAATGGGTATTTTGAAATGCCCAGCTGGTGCAAAAAATATATATATATATATATATATAATATATATTAATTAATTAAATAAAAATAAAAAAATATAGAGAGAAAGAGAACAAACCAAGGGGAAAAAAAAAAAAAAATATATATATATATATATATAATGAAATAGCAAAAGCGAAAAAAGAAAAAGAAAAAAAAAAGGAGAAAGAGAGGAAGAGAGATGAGTTCAAGCAGGTTAGAGAGGAGGCCGAGACAGCGGAGTGAGGGGAGGAGCATTGGCCGCGTGAGGAGGAGGAGTGAGCGGCAGTCACGAAGG